ATGGATGGTGAATAGACTGAGATTGTTCACAGCTTCAGTTTGCTTGCCTCCACAGTCAACACTCTCAGCACCAGCAGCCAGGAAATTAGAAAACGTATTGCCATGGGAAAGTCTGCTGTTAGGGACCTCTCCAAAGTACTGAAGAGCAATGGTGTCTTTTTCAGGACTAAGGTGCACCTGATACAGGCCATGGTCTTTGCTATCACTTGTTATGCATCAGAGAACTGGACAGTGACTAAGAAGGATAGAAGAATTGATGCCTTTGAGCTGTGGTGCTGGAGAAGAGTATTGAGGGTACTGTGGACTGCTAGGAAAACAAACAGATTCATCCTGGAAAGGGTCAAACTGGGCTGCTCCTTGGAGGCAACATAGTTTGGACGTGTTGTAAGGAGGGACAGGTCCTTGGAGAGGGACATCATGCTTGGAAGGGTGGAGGGACAGCGCAGGAGGGGAAGGCCCCCTATGAGGTGGATTGATTCAGTGATTGGGGTAATTGGGATGGGTGTGTCAGAGACGGTGCAATTGGCACAGGACAGAGCAGAGTTTAGGGCTGTTGTACATAGGGTCGCTATGAGTCGCAAGTGACTCAACGACACATAACAACAACAATAACAACAACAGGGCTGCTGTGAGTTGACCCTACTTGGTAACAGCTGACAACTGCTTGAGCTCTGTGTCTAAATGTGTTCCTGTCTGATTGTGTGTGATAATTCCATGGTACAGTCTTAACACATACATGTGGTTAATTGGCTGGGCAAGACAGTCAAATTCATTCTGTTTTTCAACCCAAGCCACTGTGCTGGTGGGTGGAGCTGACTGTGTAAAGCTGGGTTTCTTAACATTAGTAATACTGGCCTTTGGCGATTCATTATTTTGGTATGTCTTATAGTTTATAGGATGGTTTGTAGCATCTCTGGTCTCTATCCACTAGATGCCAATAGCACACTTTCCCGTCAGTTGTGACAACCAAAATGGTCTCCCGATTTTGCCATGTATTTCCTGAGCGCAAAAATTATCCCTGGCTGAGAATGACTCTAATCTTATATTAAAGAACGCATGCAATATTATTAAAAATGGGTGACCCTGGAGGACATTATGCTGAGTGAGGTATCTCAGTCACAAAGGGACAAATGCTACATGGTGCCACTGTTGTAGAATGAGGCTGACATTGGGGTGGGGGTAAAACTGAGAAAAACTGGATGAAATATGTTTATGGCATTGAAGTCTATGGGGGAGAGAATAGTCTAA